AGTACAAGATCTGAGTACTTCTACTTTTACTAAAGTACAAGATCTGAGTACTTCTACTTTTACTAAAGTACATGATCTGAGTACTTCTACTTTTACTAAAGTACATGATCTGAGTACTTCTACTTTTACTAAAGTACAAGATCTGAGTACTTCTACTTTTACTAAAGTACATGATCTGAGTACTTCTACTTTACTAAAGTACAAGATCTGAGTACTTCTACTTTTACTAAAGTACATGATCTGAGTACTTCTACTTTTACTAAAGTACATGATCTGAGTACTTCTACTTTTACTAAAGTACATGATCTGAGTAGTTGTGATGAAAGCTTTGTAACCAGCGAGCAGCTGTGCAGCGATGAGGTCGACGCCATGTCAGTAAACCATCCAGACCCTTCGCCTCTCGAGGTGTACAGAGAACGCACACACACACACATGTTCACGCTGATGTACACACACATCTCATCCATGTTGTGGCCAGCTAGTGTGTATAATTGTATACACACTCGTACAGAGGGAAGGCTTCAGCCGTTCTTCTTCAGACTCTTTGGAAATGTCCAAATGCTTAAAAACAAATCCTTGTTCGGAGCAGATCCTCATTTTCTCATATGATCAAATAATAATATGGTGCAGGTCCTCTCCACACACACACACACACACACACACACACACACACACACACACACACACACACACACACACGTATCTCCACACACACACACACCTGCATCGCCACACACACATGTATCTCCACACACATGTATCTCCACACACACACACATGTATCTCCACACACACACACACACCTCTATCGCCACACACACATGTATCTCCACACACACACACACACACCTGCATCGCCACACACACATGTATCTCCACACACACATACACATTACACACACACCTGCATCGCCACACACACATACATCTCCACACACACATACACACACACACCTGCATCGCCACACACACATGCATCTCCACACACACACACACACACACCTGCATCGCCACACACACATGCATCTCCACACACACACACATACACACACACACACACACACCTGCATCGCCACACACACATGCATCTCCACACACACACACATACACACACACACACCTGCATCGCCACACACACATGCATCTCCACACACACACACATACACACACACACACCTGCATCGCCACACACACATGCATCTCCACACACACACACATACACATTACACACACACCTGCATCGCCACACACACATGCAACACCTGAACACGACTGTTGTGATGAAATATTTGCTAAATCTATTTGGAAAGCCAGCAGAGAAGTCTACGGAGACGTTAGACATGATGAATCAATAACTGAACAGATGGGTTCCGGCAGCTGGGAGAGTGACAGATATACGGGGACACGTCTCAAATGAAATGATGGATGATCAAATAATCCCCCATGTGTTTAGTATATGTAGAACAAACCTCCTTTGCCTTAAATATCCAGCTCTGTGGATCAAGATGTTGGGTGTTATTCAATGTGTCATGTAAGATGACAGTATGGCCTTAATCTGGTATCCTTAGAATTCAAAATAACATCTAGAGAAAGGTACAAGAGGCAGTTTGCCCAGAGTATCGACTAGGATGGTCAAAATACTTGCTTAAAAGTGATGACTAAGTTGTTTAAAATGTGTTAAACGGGATGACTAAAGCCCTTTATCTCCTCCCATCATAACCCCCCCCCTGTGCCCCCCAATGCTGGCCTGCACCCAGTCTGTAATGGGATTAGTGGGTCTCTCACACACACACTCACGCACACTGTATTAAAGCAGAGTGTTACTATATATACAGGCCTCGTCTCAGGGGGTGGGATGCAGCCGGGTTGGCATGAAGTACACACACACACACACACTCTCATACACACACACAAACTAACACACACACACTGTATTAAAGCAGAGTGTTACTATACAGGTCTCGGTCTCGGGGGGTGGGATGCAGCCGGGTTGGCATGAAGTACACTCACACACACACACACACTCACACACTCACACAAACTCTTAACACACACACTTTATTAAAGAGTGTTGCTATAGGCCTTGGTTTTGGGGGGTGGGATGCAGCCTGGTTGGCACGAAGTACACTCACACACACACACACACACACACACACTCTGTATTAAAGCAAGAGTGTTGGCAGCGAGACCCTCTGATACAAATCAGGATCTTTGGTGATGGGTCCCGGTCTGACAGAGGGTCTTTGTGCTCCCCTCTCTCACATTTACACTCTGCCAGGTCCTCTGTTCCCCTCTCGAGGAACAACAAAAGGAGCGCTTCTTTATAAGAGTATTATCCGCTTAACGCTGATATATGTTGCCTCTCCACACCTGTCCGACAACTCAACGTCAGCCGTGTTTGTCTTTCTGTGTTGGGGTGGTTACTCAAAAACAGAAATGCATTACACATTACTGGATACCTTTCAAAATAAGTACTTTACTAAATGACTCACTGCACTATACTCACTTTACCTTCAGTTACTTCACAGATGAATGGTGTGAAATCTAATCAAGTGTTGAATCAGACTTTAGTTCCACCTGGAGTAAATCCACCAGCTACCCTGCAGTATACAAAGTCATTCAAACTAGCTGCACCTTCACCAGCTTTGAGAACACTTTCATGATCAATCATTATAAAACATATCATATATATTATTCTGAAATGGACCAATCTGCACAACGACTACTTTTACTGTCTTTCACTATATTTTGATGAGAATACTTTTCTACTTTCACTTGAGGAACATTTTGAATGCAGGACTTTTACTGTAACAGAGTATTCCTACACTCTGGTACTTCTACTTTTACTCAAGTACAAGATCTGAGTACTTCTACTTTTACTCAAGTACAAGATCTGAGTACTTCTACTTTTACTCAAGTACAAGACCTGAGTACTTCTACTTTTACTCAAGTACAAGATCTGAGTACTTCTACTTTTACTCAAGTACAAGATCTGAGTACTTCTACTTTTATTAAAGTACCAGACCTGAGTACTTCTACTTTTATTAAAGTACCAGATCTGTGTACTTCTACTTTTACTCAAGTACAAGACCTGAGTACTTCTACTTTTATTAAAGTACCAGATCTGTGTACTTCTACTTTTATTAAAGTACCAGATCTGTGTACTTCTACTTTTACTCAAGTACAAGACCTGAGTACTTCTACTTTTATTAAAGTACCAGATCTGTGTACTTCTACTTTTACTCAAGTACAATACCTGAGTACTTCTACTTTTATTAAAGTACCAGATCTGAGTAATTGTACTTTTACTCAAGTATGATATCTGAGTACTTCTACTTTTACTCAAGTATGATATCTGAGTACTTGTACTTTTACTCAAGTATGATATCTGAGTACTTCTCCACCTCTGTATGTATCTCTGTTTGTTCACAATACCCTCACATATATCTCTAAAGATGTGAAGCTCCAGCAGAAAAGCTTCCACTTGGACGCGGTGCAGATTAATTCTGTCGTAGAAACAGAAACGTTTCAGCGTCTGGATGCCAAGCTGCAGCGATGCCAGTGAATCACACCCTGGAAACGGCTCGCAGGCGTGCAGCCATTAAAGCGGCACTCAATGATCTCTTTGTTCTTTCTCTGTGTGCAAGCTACACATCTGATTGTAAAAATACAGCGCCTGCATGTATTGGATGTGTGCACAGTCAGGTGTGTGTGTGTGCAGGACTGAATGTTGTCGAGTGTTACGTTGTTTTTCTTTTATTGTGTACATGTGAATGCAATATGTGTGTAAATCTCCACCATAAAGCTGTATGGAGTGATCGTAAAACGTTACGAGCAAAGCTATTAACTTCAAATCAGCTTTTCTTGGCAAAAACACAACATTCCTTTCATGTGCGACATTTCAAAAGCAGATTTATACTTTCCTGTTGTGATGTGTTATAGAGTGGTGCGGGGACGACGTGTTTCTTTGTTGGACTCTGAAGGCAGCATCTCCTGGTCCAATGGGATTTCTCCATTGGATTATTAATCTTGTTTATGATATTTACACGTTTAGTTCAGCATGATATCTGAAGTAAAAATCTAACGTTAGGCTATAAAGGAACTACAGCACGGTCACATGACTTCACGTCACCACCGCTAAGCTAAAGGTGGCTAATGTTGGGCTATAAAGGAACTACATTACGGTCACATGACTTCACGTCACCACCGCTAAGCTAAAGGAGGCTAATGTTGGGCTATAAAGGAACTACATTACGGTCACATGACTTCACGTCACCACCGCTAAGCTAAAGGTGGCTAATGTTGAGCTATAAAGGAACTACAGCACGGTCACATGACTTCACGTCACCACCGCTAAGTTAAAGGAGGCTAATGTTGGGCTATAAAGGAACTACATTACGGTCACATGACTTCACGTCACCACCGCTAAGCTAAAGGAGGCTAATGTTGGGCTAAAAAGGAACTACAGCACGGTCACATGACTTCACGTCACCACCGCTAAGCTAAAGGAGGCTAATGTTGGGCTATAAAGCAGTGTTTCTCAAACTTTTTCATGCCAAGGACCACTTAACCAATACAAAAACACTCGCGGACCACCTAACTCCACAAATATCCAAAATCACATCGTTTTTCTAGAACAGATTACAAATCGCCTGAAAATAAATAAAGGTGGCTAATGTTGCGTGTGATGACGTTTAGTCGTCTCATTTAGACTCTTGTTAGCAACCTCTGTTTTTAAATCCACCAGTGGGGTATTTACTGACGTATTTCATGTCGTAGAACAAAAGTCTCTTCTGTGTTAACCACAGGCCAAACACACATTTATAAAACACTTCAAGGCAAGAGAACAGGAAGTGCAAACATGCCTCTAACTTCAGGGTTTAGGACTCATTCCTGCACCACTCTATTGCTGCTGCATCCCTTGTGTAACAGGAACTCATGTGTTCTCGCTCTCTGCATCTCTCTCCACTCTCCTCTAATAGAAATGTCTGTGTTGGCAGGGAGTCCCCGAGCTACAGCCTCCGCGCTGCACTTCCCGTCTCCCTCCATCATCCAGCAGTCCAGCCCCTACTTCACCCACCCCACCATCCGGTACCACCACCACCCGGGACAGGACCCCCCTAAAGGAGTTTGTGCAGTTCGTCTGTGCCGACGGATCAGGGCAGTCATCCGGACAGGTAAGGACGTTTAAACTAGCTGCACATGTGCCGCACCTTGCATGCCTTCGAGTTGCAGGATTCTTCCCTCTGGTTATCGTGTTTGATGCAGTTAGCAATTATAGTGATTATAAAACAGAAAGTAGAAGAACATCATACAAAGGTTTATTGCAGAGTATTGTATAATTGTGCATTCATGAACATAGTAGGAGTTAAGTTGTAAAATAAGAGGTAACAATTAAAAAAATATATTATAACATTACAAAATAAGACAAAATGTTCAAATATGAATCTGCAAAAAATAATTACAACAAGTGATTAACAATTAACTGTAAAAAATGTGAGTGTATATAGAAGCATATTAGTGCTGAAATGTGATATGGAAGCTACAATAATTATTATCATTAGCTACCTAATTATACAATTTGACAACTACTGTTCTTGGTTTCAACATGTAAGTGCTAAGGAATTTATAGCATTGGAATTTTACTTTGAAAACCATTTGTCTAATTTATCGTTGATTTCCCCTTTTTGAAATTCAGAAAAATTCACATGTTCTGAAGTTTTCATCTCAAGAAAAAATCTAATTTAAAGAAACACGGCTTGGTTTGAATTTATATATTAGATTTGGATTGATCTGAATTTGAACCTACGTTTTCCGAGTTATTGTTAAATATGTTTTGAATTTGTAAACCTGAGAACAAACTTGAAATGGAGTTTTGTAATCTGAGAATTCAAAGGAATGCAAACCACAGAAAAAATTCAAATACTTCCAATGTTATGTTAAATTTCAAAATAAAAGCGCTCAAGGTGAACACAAGTAAACACGTCAGACATTTGTTTACTCAGTCAGTCTACAAATCTTTGTATTGTCTTGTCAATGTATTTTTACTGTTTCAGACCCCAACGTTTTTCCCTTCCTCACCTTTTTCTTATTTTGTATTTATATTCCGCTCCACCAAACCCCCTCAGAAGTTCTCATCAGAGTGAATCAGTCACAGAAACCTCCCGTCCTGTGTTGTTGTTCCATCGTGTTTCTGTTTCCATCTCTAGCCGATTTCACTCGGAGTTTGGTTGTTTGGTGCTGGTACCGTTGGTGGTGTTGTGCTTGTGTAGACGAGTCCCATGGTTTTTTGATTTCTTGCCATCGTCTTGGACAAACCCAGTCAATAATGTGCTCACTTCCCTCCTCCTCCACCCACCACGGACCCCCTGCTGTGGAGCCTCTCACCTCCCTCTCAAACCCCGTGGTGATTATTATTTGTCACACCTCCATAAAAGATCTACATACATAATTCCTTTGGTTGTTTTTTCCCCACCTTCCTCCCTCTTTTCCACCATCCCCTCCTTCCGTCATGGATATTTTTTTGGAGCTCCTGAGCCGCGTCCATTTCTTTTTCCATCCCGTTTTTTTGCGGATTGTCGCATGTCGTCCTCCTGACCCTATTTGTGTGTCTGCAGCCAACGGGAGCGGCCAGAGCAAAATGCCGGGCTCCTTCTTGCTGCCTCCACCTCCCCCAGTGGCCCGCCCAGTGCCCCTCCCCATGTCCGACTCTAAACCCAACAGCACGCCCCCCGACGGCGGACTCTCCTCGCCCGCATCTCCGTGTAAGTGACCCCGCAGAGACAAAAACCAAACCGACAACAAAAATCCCCGAAACCCTCTCCAGTGAAAAAAAGACCCCTCCTGCCATTGTTCTTCCTTACAACTTCGTGCCCATCATGTTCCTGTTTATCCAACATCTCACCCTCCGTTAACCGTGGGAAGCTAATGGAAACCCGCACAGGACAAACTGTGGAGCTCAGAGTAGATCAAGGACACGTATTTATTTTATAACGGACTCCTGTCGTGATCCTCAGGGCTCTGTGTTGGGCCCCCTCAGTTTGAGTCCATTCTGTGTTGAGGAAACTGCAAAACCAACCAAGTTCTTTCATTTCATGATGGACTCACTAGCAAACCTTACAAATAGATTGACTTATTGTTAGTTGTGAAGAGCACAAATAGAGTGGTGCAGGGATGAGTCTTAAAACCCGCAAAATACATTTTACCACTTCAGGTTCCTTGGTCATGAAGTCAATGGTCTTTTGAACGTGTTTTTTGAACGCCACGCCTAAAATAAGGAAATAACAAGCTGAAGATTCAAGGCTTTATCATCATGTGCTCAGCAGCTACAGTGTAGATATGTCAATGAAAAACTGAAGTCACAGGCTCCTTCAACAATGCAACATGAATATATATAGGACATAAAACAGATACAATTGTGCGAGAGAATGTTTTGAGTTGTGCAAGTTAATACAAATCAAATAGAAATAGTGCAAGAAGAGTATATACAAGTAAATGGAATGTGAGATTCTAACATTTAGTTCTAATTTGAAAACGGGGGTGGCGAACAAGTGTCTAAATAAGACGACGACTAAACGTCATCCAACATTAGCCGTCTTAAGCTCAAAGATCATAAAGTGGTGTTAATATGTGGAGATTATCATAAACGTGTGTTGGCCAAAAAGTGTTTTTCTTGCAATATACAGAAATCTAATGAGGGGAATACCATGGCTTTTTGTCAAGTTAGCCCTTGCGATGCTAACTTTCGGGTTAGCATTCAAAAATGATCCCTACACCACTCTATTTAGGGCACCTCTGCTATGGAAACCCGTACAGGACTTTCTGTGGATCTCAGAGTAGATAAAGACTAGATATATTTTATAACGGACTCCTGTGGTGCTCCTCAGGGTTCTGTATTGGGCCCCATCAGTTTAAGTCCATTTTGCGTTGGGGAAACTTCACAACCAGTTCCTTTTAGAAATGTATGTTGAATATTTATTGAGTCTTACTTACGTAAAGAGCCCACATTTAGGGCAGTTAAGTTATTTCTACTCCGAAACACTCCAGTAGAAATTGGGACGCTGATGGAAAGGATTTAGTTATACTTGTTTTTGGTTAGTAGGATATTTTTTGTGATTGTTAAGATGGATAGGGTGTGTTTTTAAGATCCAGTCGTGGGGCTTTTCTCACAACACCTGTGATAGGAGGGGCACTGGATGGAGCACCTTTTTGTTTTTGTAGCTTTCTTTTAAACCTAGTGTTTGCGTTTTACCCCCAGTCAGCGTGTCCAAGTCTTTTATGTCTTATGTATGTTATTCCAGTTCTTAGAAACACATGGATACTGTATATGTCCGTAAATTCTCCTTCTCTCTGTCTCTCTTCTTCTTGTCCTGCCTCCTTTTCCTCCACACAAACACATAAGTCCACACACTGCAATCCCTCAGTGAGTTTCAGAAGCTGGAGTCTGTTGGGTACCGAACTGGGTACAGAACTGCCCTAAATTTGTCAGAAGCTTTGATGCCAGTGGGTTTTTAAAGTCCCTGACTGATCCCTCAATGTCAGGATCCTAGTGTGATCAATCACTTCAAACTGAGCTCATCAGCGGGATTTAATCACTCAGGGAAATCTAAGTTTGCATATTAGACACTTGTCCGTTGAGTTTTGATGACCTCAATGCAATATATCAGTACTTTCTGTTTTAGTAAATTAATTTATCACAAGGTTTATAATCTATTAAGTTTACTGTTTGCTATACTTTCTTAATGGAAAGTTTGACCCTTTTTTTCCTGGCATGAGTTACCACTAATATATGATATATATGAAGTAGCCTAGCTTAGCATAAAGACTGGAAACGGATAAACAGCAAGCCTGGCTCTGGTCAAAGGTAACATAATCTGCCTAACAGTAGTAGCGGTGGTGACGTGAAGTCATGTGACCGTGCTGTAGTTCCTTTATAGCCCAACATTAGCCGCCTTTAGCTTAGCGGTGGTGACGTGAAGTCATGTGACCGTGCTGTAGTTCCTTTATAGCCCAACATTAGCCTCCTTTAGCTTAGCGGTGGTGACGTGAAGTCATGTGACCGTGCTGTAGTTCCTTTATAGCCCAACGTTAGCCACCTTTAGCTTAGCGGTGGTGACGTGAAGTCATGTGACCGTGCTGTAGTTCCTTTATAGCCCAACATTAGCCTCCTTTAGCTTAGCGGTGGTGACGTGAAGTCATGTGACCGTGCTGTAGTTCCTTTATAGCCCAACATTAGCCTCCTTTAGCTTAGCGGTGGTGACGTGAAGTCATGTGACCGTGCTGTAGTTCCTTTATAGCCCAACATTAGCCGTCTTTAGCTTAGCGGTGGTGACGTGAAGTCATGTGACCGTGCTGTAGTTCCTTTATAGCCCAACATTAGCCTCCTTTAGCTTAGCGGTGGTGACGTGAAGTCATGTGACCGTGCTGTAGTTCCTTTATAGCCCAACATTAGCCAGCTTTAGCTTAGCGGTGGTGACGTGAAGTCATGTGACCGTGCTGTAGTTCCTTTATAGCCCAACATTAGCCTCCTTTAGCTTAGCGGTGGTGACGTGAAGTCATGTGACCGTGCTGTAGTTCCTTTATAGCCCAACATTAGCCGCCTTTAGCTTAGCGGTGGTGACGTGAAGTCATGTGACCGTGCTGTAGTTCCTTTATAGCCCAACATTAGCCGTCTTTAGCTTAGCGGTGGTGACGTGAAGTCATGTGACCGTGCTGTAGTTCCTTTATAGCCTAACGTTAATATGTGGAGATGATCCTGCTGAACTAAACGTGTAAGTATCATAAATGTTGAGAATATTTTCTGCAATAATCCAAAACCACGTGGAGAAATGTCCCATTGGACCAGGTAGATGCTGCCTTCAGGGTCCATCATAGAAATACGGCCTCCCTGCACCACTTTGTTTCTATTCCTTTAAACCACCAGCTCCCTGACCTTTTGTCTCTCCTCTGTTCCTCCAGCATACTCCACGCCAGGCGCCTCAGCTTCCAACAGGTTTGTCGGCATCGGATCACGGGACAACAACTTTCTGAACATCCCGCAGCAGACGCAGGTAGAGAAACACTCTGATGATTTGATTTGATGTATTTCGAACGTGTAAAACAATATTTATACAGAAAATTATAATAATAATGAAATGAAACAAGAGAATTATCATGTACCAAATTAAGCAGTATCAAATTGATGAATACAAATATGATTGACTTACAAATTATATATAAACTAATGATCTACCTAATCCCACCCCTTCTCCCAAAAACTAAATTATTAACATTTCTACTCTGTTAAAGACGTCGGTTTTGAATGTGATTAAAGTCAGGAAACTTGTTAACTCTGTGGATGTTCGCCCACATATTTCTTATTCCCCTCTTCTCTGGTTTCCTCCACCTCTCCTCTCAAAGCGCACCATCACATCTGTATTTTACTGAACCATATGTGCTCCGATCCGTTTATTTGGCTCGTATGGAGACTAACATCCAGGCCTTCTCCCTCGCTGCCTCTTCGCTAACTCTCCTTTCTATCCAATGTGAACTTCACTTTAGTAGAAATACAAATACTATGGTCTTAAAACAGCGCATTACAAGTAAAAATCCTAATTTAAAATGGAATACAAAGGTGTTAAAACGGCAACATGTAATTCTTGTAAGCATTAAAAGTACTCAGTGTGCAGAATGGCTCTTACCACAGTATTATAGAGTGTTTTTATTCTGGTTCTCATCAGCAAAAGTACATATATCATGAGAAAAAGGTACTGGATGATATTCGAAGTGCTTCATGGTTGATTGTAAGTTGTCCTAGATAAAAGTATCAGCTAAATCAAAAGTGTAAAAGTGGTCCAGGACTGCATCGTAATCAGGTTTTAATTCAATGTAGGTTTAAACATTTATGGAATGTGCTTTGGTGTATAATAATGCATACATAAACACAGAAATATTAATGTATTTGTATAAAGGGGCAAATATACAACTAGTATAAACTTAAGAGTCCAATATGACAACTTACTCTCCTATTATAAGAGCTTTGCCGTTTTAAAAGCGGAAGTATTATTTAGAAATCACAGAGGAACGTCCAGAGTTTACAGACTGTAAAAGTAGTCAGAGATGGCAAAAGTACACACATCCTTTACTCAAGTAGAAGTACAAATACTCGCCTTTAAAACTACTCAAGTCAAAGTAAAGAGGCTTTGAAGTGTACTTCAGTAAAAAGTACCCATAACTAGCAGCTGCTTTAAAGAGTACCTGACCTCCCTTTATATTAATAGAACAATAATGTCATTGTTAGCTAATGAATGTTTCCATGCTGAACAACGGCAACATGACAACGTTTCCATTGGTCCCTCTTCTTTAGAGAAGACCAGGAAATGATGGATACACGGATCGTGTTCAAATCAATAGGCACGCAATGACTCTAAAGAATAATGATCACGCATCAAACACACATTCAGACTAAAGGAACCAGCTGTTTGGGAAATGAGAGAAGTAGAAAGTACAGGTATTTGAGTTCAACATGTAAGAAGTAGAAAGTACAGGTATTTGAGTTCAACATGTAAGAAGTAGAAAGTACAGGTATTTGAGTTCAACATGTAAGAAGTAGAAAGTACATGTATTTGAGTTCAACATGTAAGAAGTAGAAAGTACAGGTATTTGTGTTCAACATGTAAGAAGTAGAAAGTACAGGTATTTGTGTTCAACATGTAAGAAGTAGAAAGTACAGGTATTTGAGTTCAACATGTAAGAAGTAGAAAGTACAGGTATTTGAGTTCAACATGTAAGAAGTAGAAAGTACAGGTATTAGAGTTCAACATGTAAGAAGTAGAAAGTACAGGTATTTGTGTTCAACATGTGAGAAGTAGAAAGTACAGGTATTTGTGTTCAACATGTAAGAAGTAGAAAGTACAGGTATTTGTGTTCAACATGTAAGAAGTTAGAAAGTACAGGTATTTGAGTTCAACATGTAAGATTAGTAGAAAGTACAGGTATTTGTGTTCCAACATGTGAGAAGTAGAAAGTACAGGTATTTGAGTTCAACATGTAAGAACGTAGAAAGTACAGGTATTGAGGTTCAACATGTAAGAAGTAGAAAGTACAGGGTATTTGAGTTCAACATGTAAGAAGTAGAAAGTACAGGTATTTGTGTCAACATGTAAGAAGTAGAAAGTACAGGGTATTTGTGTTCAACATGTAAGAAGTAGAAAGTACAGGTATTTGTAGTTCAACATGTGAGAAGTAGAAAGTACCAGGTATTTGTGTTCAAACATGTAAGAAGTAGGAAAGTACAGGTATCTTGAGTTCACATGTAAGAAGTAGAAAGTATAGGTATTGTGTTCAACATGTAAGAAGTAGAAAGTACAGGTATTTGAGTTCAACATGTAAAGAAGTAGAAAGTACAGGATTTTGTTTCAACATGTAAGAAGTAGAAGTATAGGTATTTGTGTTCAACATGTAAGAAGTAGAAAGTACAGGTATTTGAGTTCAACATGTAAGAAGTAGAAAGTATAGGTATTTGAGTTCAACATGGTGAGAAGTAGAAAGTACAGGTATTTGTGTTCAACATGTAAGAAGTAGAAAGTATAGGTATTTGAGTTCAACATGTGAGAAGTAGAAAGTAACAAGGGTATTTGTGTTCAACATGTAAGAAGTAGCAAGTACAGGTATTTGAGTTCAAAATGTAAGAAGTAGAAAGTATAGGTATTTGTGTTCAACATGTGAAGAAGTAGAAAGTACAGGTATTTGATGTTCAACATGTAAGGAAGTAGAAAGTACAGGTATTTGAGTTCAACATGTAAGAAGTAGAAAGTATAGGTATTTGTGTTCAACATGTAAGAAGTAGAAAGTACAGGTATTTGAGTTCAACATGTAAGAAGTAGAAAGTACAGGTATTTGTGTTCAACATGTAAGAAGTAGAAAGTACAGGTATTTGTGTTCAACATGTAAGAAGTAGAAAGTACAGGTATTTGATGTTCAACATGTAAGAAGTAGAAAGTACAGGTATTTGTGTTCAAAATGTAAGAAGTAGAAAGTACAGGTATTTGTAGTTCAACATGTAAGAAGTAGAAAGTACAGGTATTTGTGTTCAACATGTAAAGAAGTAGAAGTACAGGTATTTTGGGTTCAACATGTAAGAAGTAGAAAGTACAGGTATTGAGGTTCAACATGTAAGAAGTAGAAAGTACAGGTATTTGAGTTCAACATGTAAGAAGTAGAAAGTACAGGTATTTGTGTCAACATGTAAGAAGTAGAAAGTACAGGTATTTGTGTTCAACATGTAAGAAGTAGAAAGTACAGGTATTTGTGTTCAACATGTAAGAAGTAGAAAGTACAGGTATTTGTGTTCAACATGTAAGAAGTAGAAAGTACAGGTATTTGTGTTCAACATGTAAGAAGTAGAAAGTACAGGTATTTGAGTTCAACAGTAAGAAGTAGAAAGTACAGGTATTTGAGTTCAACATGTGAGAAGTAGAAAGTACAAGTATTTGAGTTCAACATGAGAGAAGTAGAAAGTACAAGTATTTGAGTTCAACATGAGAGAAGTAGAAAGTACAGGTATTTGAGTTCAACATGTAAGAAGTAGAAAGTACAGGTATTTGTGTTCAACATGTAAGAAGTAGAAAGTACAGGTATTTGAGTTCAACATGTAAGAAGTAGAAAGTACAGGTATTTGTGTTCAACATGTAAGAAGTAGAAAGTTCAGGTATTTGAGTTCAACATGTAAGAAGTAGAAAGTAAAAAGTCGTCAGAAAGTGGAGTAGTGGAGTAAAGTACTGATACCAGAAACATGTGTAAAGTAAAGTAGCTAAAAAATGAAATACCCAAGTACAGGCATGTTAAAATACTTCAGTAAATCGACTTTGTTTCATCAAAATCCTTGCTTTCCTTCCTCCCTCCCTCCCTCCCTCCCTCCCTCCCTCCCTCCCTCCCTCCTTCCTCCCTCCTCCCCTCCTTCCTCCCTTCTCCCCTCCTTGGTTCCTTCCCTCCTCCATTACTACCAGTACTTTTCTCATTACTGTGTCACCCCTCCCACCTGGAGGCTCTGAACACATGGACACCATCTGAAGCTCATCCTCAATCTGTTTCTCTGCACTCTTACTTTCCATTTCGCCCCCATTACTGACGGTATTCCCCCTTCCTCACTTCCTCACTTCATCACCTCCTCGCCTCCTCACTCTTCTTTTGCTCATCCACTTTTCACACTTTTGTTATTTGACATACATTTACTTTCAGACATTCAACTACTTCATATAATACCTCTCTCTCCACTTAGTCAGTCTCCAAACAACACATGATGTGCTTATATGATGACATCAGCAGGAGAGGACTCTTTAAAGTAGAGACACTACATACTGATATACACCTGAACATCAGCAGGAGAGGACTCTTTAAAGTAGAGACACTACATACTGATATACACCTGAACCTCAGCAGGAGAGGACTCTTTAAAGTAGATACACTACATACTGATATACACCTGAACATCAGCAGGAGAGGACTCTTTAAAGTAGAGACACTACATACTGATATACACCTGAACATCAGCAGGAGAGGACTCTTTAAAGTAGAGACACTACATACTGATATACACCTGAACCTCAGCAGGAGAGGACTCTTTAAAGTAGAGACACTACATACTGATATACACCTGAACATCAGCAGGAGAGGACTCTTTAAAGTAGAGACACTACATACTGATATACACCTGAACATCAGCAGGAGAGGACTCTTTAAAGTAGAGACACTACATACTGATATACACCTGAACATCAGCAAGAGAGGACTCTTTAAAGTAGAGACACTACATACTGATATACACCTGAACATCAGCAGGAGAGGACTCTTTAAAGTAGAGACACTACATACTGATATACACCTGAACATCAGCATGAGAGGACTCTTTAAAGTAGAGACACTACATACTGATATACACCTGAACATCAGCAGGAGAGGACTCTTTAAAGTAGAGACACTACATACTGATATACACCTGAACATCAGCAGAAGAGGACTCTTTAAAGTAGAGACACTACATACTGATATACACCTGAACATCAGCAGGAGA